GATGGGAGAGTAATTCATCTTTGTTGGGATAATATGCACCCACAGTCCTGACCTGCAATTATAAATTATGCACCAGGTTTTAGCTCTAGGCAGTATCCTCCCATGACGCGTGTGCTGCTGATTAAGAGGGAGTGAAATGGCTTTGTTTTAATGAACATATCCCACAACACAAAGACAGGGTTTGACTCTATCACGGGTGACGGTGGAGCTCTGACCACCTCTTAGTCAATTTACTTTTGGGCGAGCACAATTTGCTTTATCTGAAATATTCACAGGTTCCAAAAAAAGGGGGCTAAAATCACATCTCATTAAATGTTGATGCTCGTGGTGAGTAAAGAGAACACTGGCTGTATCAAAGAGCTGGTTATGTCCAGTGAATACTAACTGATCTCCTTCTGTACACCAGCAGTGGCTAATTTATAACTGATCCTTACAGTTCCAACAGAACACTAAATGTAATGTGTGTGTATATATAATATTATATATATATATACACACACACATATACCTACATATATAAGTATATATATGGCATATATAAATATACATCTCTATACATAGATATGCACACTGACACACATACATACATTTAAAATTATATATTGATATTTTAAATATATACAAATATGAGTTTATTTATATATATTTTTTTATTATTATTATTAAAGAAAATGTAATTGTGTTCTCCAGCATGTGTAACATCTCCCTCCTCTGAAACTGCAGGCACTGACATGCTTCCTCTCATCTCAGAAATGTGTTGTCAAAACTCAAAACAGTCAATAATGCACAAAGCACATGAGCTCAACCCAGCAATAATAGCCTACGGCAACAGAAAACATGCAGCTGCGGGGACGATTGATTATTAGTCCCATTTGTTTTATTTTGTTCCAATGTTTCTTTATGTACGTGTGCGCACCAAACAAATATATATAAAAAACACTTAATACGTCGTTTTTAACATATTTATTATCTAAAACAGACTAATTCTACACATCCAATTACCAGGGGGTAAATATTTTCTTAAGTTGAACAATTTATTAAATAATGCTAATCAAAGCAAGAAAAAACAAATGTGGTTAATCTAATAGAAATATTAAATCTTAATGCTTCTTTTATTGAAGCATTAGGTGGTTTGAAGTCATTATAGAATCTTGGTGTCCATTCATGACAGGAGAGGAGAAATGCTATGATGGATGCTCACAAAGTTAGCAAAGAGAATCACGGTGTTCATGAAATAAAAATCATTGGCAGCAGTACAGATCCACATTACTCTGATGTAGAGAAGAGTGGGGGAGAGAGAGAGAGAGAGAGAGCAAGTTTTACAGAAGGTTAAAACATCCACAGGCGAGTTGAATGAAGACATGCACAACCAAAGGACTTAACTTCAAAAGAACCTGTGTTTTCAGCTATTCTCTGTGGTGGGCTCGCTTTGGATATTTAATGGCAGTGGATTCCATTTATATGCTCACCTCTCTATTGATATCTGCAAAATACTTTCATCTGTACATTTAAAAATAAAGCCTTCTTGCCAAATTGAAACTTGTTGTTTGAATTTTGTCGTTCAAATTGTTATTCTTCGCGCAGCAGGGAGCCATGCTAACAAGTGGAGAACTTTCCCCTGAAGTGAAGAGCAAGAACAAGAACACACTTGTTTTTTTTTTCGACATAAAAGCTTTTAGATGACCTATGGCTCCAGCCAGACCTTTGACGAAAAAAAATGAGGACAATCAAAAGGACAAATGTGACAGCCCTCCTGTGTGAGGTACAAGATGAATGTGGAACAGAGCGTCACTTCTGTGATGTCTTTGACCTGGTAGTTCAAAGCTGGACTCAGGACTCTGGATCCCACCCCTAGTTCAGTATGTGTGGACCTCAGACAAAGGCTTTGTTCATATTAAAGTAAAACCACCACATTGTTCCTTTGAGCTGGAACATCACTATTGCAAGACCAGAAAGGACACTTTTTCAAAGCCAGGTAAATGATTCATGTCTCCTACATCACAAAGATGATGATGAGCTTGGTCGAAACTCTGTATATTTTCATAAACTTTAAATAAAGTATAGATAATTGTCTTGCTAAGGTGATGTCCCTAAACACACGTTCTCCCACACACACACACGTTATCATCAAGAGACACAAGAAGGTGCTCCAGCCTGTGGCCATAGTTAACCACAGCACACAGTGAAGGCTGACTGCTGCTGATGCTGCTGCTGCTGCTGATGCTGCTGATGCTGCTGCTGCTGCGGTGCCTTTATTTCTCCTGAGACACTAGGGTGGACAGGACTTTGAAGTTAAAAGTGTGGCTGCCAGACAATAAAAGCAGCATGTGGGCCTCAATCTTTACTATGTACTGAAAGATAAGAAGGTCCATGATGCCGTTCTTCTAACTATACAATAAATATGGCAACATAACAGGTGCATCTTTTCTTTGATACTGTATTTATAAATATTTTTATAAATATATTTACCAAATTATACATAACTGATGTGATATGTGAGTAGGACCATTTCAAAGATTTACAGCTTAAATATAAGTTATTTTTTAACTTGTATTTTCACTGTCCATGTTTTTGTGTCAAAGGGAGACAGTTTAAAAATGCATAGGAGGGTATTATCATAAAAAATGCAAAAGAAACAAAAGAAAAAGGTTCCGAACCAGTCAAATTTCACAAAAAAGAATTGTTACCATGTTACCACGTTTAATTGTAAATAAGTTGCTTTACTCAACAGTGATCCTTGTAATTTTTGACTTCCGAACTGATGTTCTTCAGATATTATATTATATTTTGCAGTATTTTGACCATAAAATAAACGCAAACAGAAAGGTCTCCGGTATGATACTTGTAAAAAGGTATGCAGTTATAAAAACACAAACACAGTTGGGCAGTAATACGCCAATGAAAATGCAATGGGCTTTAAAACAGGGTTTGTGGCTATTTGCTGCCATCGTGTGAAGAAAAACTGACATTACCTCTTTTCAATTACACGGTAGTCGCAATACTTTAGTGCTTTAACACTTCTTTATGATTAGGGTCTTATTTCTAGAAAGAAATTAAAGAGATAATATTCCTTGTTGCAGCAGGGTAAAAACTGTCTTCCACTGCAATTTCTTTTTGGTATTGACACAAAAAGGGGATTAAAAACATTAATATTATCAGTTTTCCAAATCCGTAAAAAAAAATGTGCCTTGTTTGGGATTTTTTGTGTCTTAAGGATGTGTATAAAATCTGTTGAAATATTGGCACTTGAATAATTCTAGAATTCCTAAATAAAATGGCATTGCATTAGTATTTACCTTAAAACACAAATAAATGTCTGTAGTAGAAGTTATAACTTTAACTCTAATCCGAAAAATATAGTATTAAATTTCACTTTCCTGGGATTAAAAGATGTGATGAGGCAAAGATTTCCATATTACACAATTAATTTCATAAAGCCTTAAGTTAATATAATTAAATACATCAGGGGGTGGCAATACAATATAAACATGCATTCCAAATGATGATTTATAATTATCAGTGGCCATGGTGCAAAAGCAAGAAAGTATAAGTTACCTGGTTAGAATTATTTTAATGACTTAATGAATATGAAAATTATTAAAGTCCTTTGTTCTAAAACAACTATCACAAACCTAAGAGCTTCAGGTCTCCTTCAGAATAAAAGTTAAAGAAGTTTGAGTGTTGTTCATTTGGGCTGAAACATCGAGCAGTTTTCTTCACGACATGCCATTAAAAAAGTTATTGAACAAAAGTCAGGTAATTGTCATCAATAAACAACCTTCTCCACATCATAATTTTCAAGTGTTTGCTCTCAATGCCAATCCAACCATTCGACCACAGAAACCATACATTTTCTGAGTCTTTCAATTCTCATGTATGCCAAGATCAGGGACTAGTAATCTTTCTGACAGAAGACTATTAATCCCTAAAGTTTACTTTACACCTATCTGGAGGGTAAAGAAACCCCATCTGTTACACTGTTGGTATAAAGAATAGTATTATAAATGGCGTTACAGACACAGCAGCAGTGCCGTGACTTTGGGTATGCATGGGAGAGAAAAAGGCGAGGCAGAGAGCAAGGACAGCGCAGACAGGGATTTCTTCTTTTTTTTCTTGCTTTGTTTTGTTTTGTTTTGTTTCCTATAAGAACCTCAAGACAATCGTCTCTGACCGACTTCCAGTGTCTCATCCAGAGGGTGATGAGACAAAACTGACAGGCGTCTGTCCCCAGACACACCAGAAAAAAAGCGCTCCATACTTGAGCAGATCCTCTGAGACTCTGCCTCAACTACACCAACCAAGCAGCTCGTATCATTCATTAGCTGTGTCTGGTGTTTTCACATGGCTACTCCTTTAGCCCTTTCCTCTGTTTAATCAAGTGACATATTAATTTATGGCCAACACTCAAGGGACAGGGTTTCCAGCATCTTCAAACATTAATACACTGAAGGTTGTCATATTTATATATTTATAGTTTAAAAATGTATACAGGACAAAACAGATAGATGTCCAGATTTATCAAAGTCAAACGGCTACTGAAAGATGTCTGTCATGAAACAACTAGCAGCATGTGTTCAGGAAAGGTAAGAAATGAAACCTGGTGAAAATATGACCACATTTTAGATACTGTGAATTGCAAATCACTAACACTAAATCATTAAACTCTAAATAATACAAATTATCAACAAATAAGTCAAACAGATACAGTATGTATTTTTGAAACGTGATGCTGGTGACAAAGTGCTCAATTAACTAAAAACTAAGCAAGTGTGTTTACAATAAATTATTGTAATTGACCAGTAGTACTGTATAAATAGTATAAAAAGCAAGTATTTCTTATGGATAATTATTTGATAGATTTGTAAACAAACAAAACAAACATAAACAAACAAAATACCCTATACATACGTAGTTTACGAGTGTTTTAAAACTGATACTTAGATAAACAACAAACATGTTCGTGTTTACACCCAAAAAACAACAACAAAACACGGACTTACTTTCAACGTAAGTCCAACGTTTCTCTTCCACTGAGGTTGTATGAAGTGTTATTTCCAGCTGCCATTTTTTGTCTCTGGAATTCTTCCTTCAGTTTATAGCTTTTGTAATCCACTGTCAGCTCTAATTTGTCCGCGCCAAGTATTACCTTTATTTTAAAAAAGCGTTTTAGGGTTTAACTTGATTCACCTGACACGCTGTGGCTAAATTATGCTAAGCAGACGTCACTGCTCTTCCGGAAGGCACGGGGCCACACCCAACTCTTCTTCTTCTTTTCTTCTTGTTGTCTGTCAATCAACTGTTGTTAAACTTTGTTTTAATTGTATTTAATTTATTTAGGTAATTATTATACTATGTAAGACAGAGTGAGGTAAGCGTTTTTATTCATATTAACTTTTAATTCAGAAAAAGAAATTCAGAATGTTAGTGTACACTCACCTGGTGGTCATTTAAGAAAGGTTAGTTCTTTTTAAAATTTGCAATAAAAGTAGAGCTTTTCTAAGATGGCCACCATGTTGGATGATTTTAATGGTTTATCACACTTTTGTTTTTTATTATGCACAATGTAACGTTACCAAAAAAAGTTAGAAGTATCAGTATCAGCAGGTTCATAAATAAACAAAATCAAAGTGAAAAAATAAGAGCCCCAGTGTAGATAAAATACAATTTATTTTAGCAACTCACTAAATATTCCTACATTTGTCATCATGAAAGGACATCCAGTCCAAATACAGCCACCTTGGTTGAAGTGTCATTGATAGTGCAAATGTACAGCACAAAGTTTACAAAGGGCATGAGTGCTAAACAAAAAGAGAGTGAGAGAGACAGAGAGTACAGTTTTTTTTCTTTCCTACAAAAAACAACATATTTACCTCTAGATAAAAATGCTTTCACAAGTATATATTTCGATGAACTTGAAATGATTGCAATGATTCTATCATTGCAGGGTTTCTCAAAGCAAGACAGTGGTTCATATTTACGGGGGATACTTTTCTGATATGTTTGTAGATCGATGACGACGCAGTTTTGAAACACAATGAAGGCTCTCTGTTCTGGAGAAGAAGAAAAGAAAACAAGACAAGATTACGTAAAAACATGATGTTGAACGTCATGTGTAAACGTGTCCTGTTAGCAGTTAGTCTCAATACAGATAAATCACATTACATTTTTGAAAGAGCAGCTCTCACACACATGGAAGAATAAGTGTAAGTGCTAGTCAGTTCTGTCTGCAATTCTAAATTATTATAACATAATGTTAGTGATTTGGCCCTAAATGTGATTCTAGTACAATCTGTAGAACTGACAGGAGTTCCACCATGGAGTAGGGTGAATGGGAAATGAAGATCAGAGGGACAGCAAAGGTTGAGCAGGTGGATATCTTCATCTTCTACCTCTTGAGTCCTTTACAGAGTCGCTGGAAGCTTTAGCCAATTACAGCAGTCTTTGGATAACGATGGGGTACAACCTGAACAGTTCACCATTCACTCATTTAGCCTTACATTACATGTTTTTGAATAGGGCTGGGGGACTAGACCTAACAAATATGAAGACTTCTAACCCTTCTCTCGGGCCACGTTCTGTGGACAGAAATGAGGGAGACTTTTGATGAAATAGAAAACAGATTTTCAACATGGACCTTTTGTTCTCCTACAGGGGCAATTCAGAGCCTCATGTCCCGAGAGGGCACCAGAGGTCAACGTACCGATGCTTTTGCTCACATAGGGCCATGTCGCTTTTTTCTGCCAAATGCTTGGGCCCCAACGTTGGTATGGACAAAGTTGCTGTATCCCAGTCCACCTGACCGACTCAGCAGGTCAGCCAAGCGATGGGTTACACAGGTGGAAGTGTTACAGCCCCGCTTCTCTGCTGTAGTATTGCTTTTCAGGCAAAAAACAAACAAACAAAACATATATATTTACTGTAACATTCAAAATACAGTGTACGGGACAAACTAACATAAAATGTGCATTGCCTCGAACCACGGACGTGCTGAAGATGAAATAAATGCAAAATGAAATTACCATTGAGTTTATTATTTTTATTTGGTATAATTTTGGTTTAAATTACACAGATGCCATAAAACGGACAGAGTTTGTGCTTACAATGAAATGTTCATGAATGATGGAAACAACATGAGGTGCGTTTTATCAACATGCATCACCAGCTGCAGGTTTGTGAATGTAGCTGGATGATCATGCATGAGCAGCTCAGACAAACAGTAGATGAGACACTGTGATTTCCAGTTGTGTGATGTGCTTTAGTTCCCATATGGCTCAGATAGACTTCTCTTCCTGCCAGGTGTATGTGCTCCCACGTCGGTGCGGGGAAAGGTTTGCAGTTTGTGAATATCCTGTGAGAGTTTGCCCAGCACACATGTGCTTAAATTGGTGCAGCGTTTAGACATGGGTCTGTCCAAGCTGTTAGAGACAGACACACACATGCAGAAACTGGCTTACACAGCATGAGTCATGCAGACAAATGAGAGGTAGTACATGAGTGATGCTTCTCTGTTGATAAAATGTCATGCGTTCACATATCAAAAACATTTAAAGTTAATATAAAAGAAACACATGCTTACAGTCATACAGTCATGTGATAATGCATCATGTTGTTACACACATACTGTGCATAAGCTGGCAATGTCGATGTTTCGTTTGTATGTAATGTCAATGGTTGTCATGCGTGTTTATAATGCGCAGCAGTTACATGCTCTATGCAGCTTCCTAACCAGTGCCATTCCACTGCAGCCACATGATTAAATGAATGAATAAGGGTTTGATTTAATAAATAAGTACATGCAATTATGAAAGACATTAGACGTACAACCATAGCTGAACAAAATACCTGTTACCTAAGCAGAGCTGTTGGACTTTTAAATAAAACATTGTTACTAGACAGACGGACAGACGGACAGACAGAGAAAAGGGAAGAAAGAAAGAAAGAAAGAAAGAAAGAAAGAAAGAAAGAAACAAGGAAAGAAAGACAGAACAGACCTGTTCTCATCAGCTGACTGATGGTCTTGCTCATCATTCATCATCTGCATAAAGTCCTTCATAGCTCTTAGGAGTTTTTCAACATCGGTGTCTGAAACCGCTCCATTTGAAATTAATTCCTTGTTGCTTCTAGAAAAAGCACATCATCATCATCATCGTACATCGACACAGGTTTATAACACAGTGCATCCAGTTTGTCAGTGTGTTAGTTAATACAATAGACTCCATGTAACACACAACCTGCTTTTTTTACAATTAAATATTTTAGCAACATTCTTGAAAAACGTCACCTGGATGGAGCTGCCTGTGACATGTACATGTCACAAATGATCAGCATGTAGGCACAAAGCAGAGTCCACTGTTTCAGCACCATCATCACGTCTCCCTGAGAACATCACAGCCAGAGAAAATATTTGGATTTTGGAAGAATACATTTGAGCCATACCACACAGAATATACACATGCTCTAATCAGATATGTGAGCCATACCACACAGAATATACACATATACACAGAATATCTCACAATCAGAAATGAATACATTCAAGAATAAGCGCTCCTTCATTCATACTTACTGTGAGATAATAACTCCTCCAGTAATGAAGATCTAACTGATGATGCTGACTCTGTCTGCTGGGCACAGCCCACAGAACAGGGTTTTATATACACTATCTTCCCCAGAGGTTTCACAGTGAACTGAGCAGCCACTTGATCATAGTCTATTGGCCAGATGAATGTTTTACCTCAAACTACTAGCCAATTACGCACCCTATGGGACACTTAATGGAATGACTGTTCATGTTCTCAGGTGATTCACAAAAAGCAGCCTGGTTTTAGAATCAAAATGCAGAGAAACATTCTGGACAGTAGCATCTCTTTAATTCCTTGGCTCTGCGTGTTTGTCACACTGATACAGTGATGTGAACAATTATACAGTACTGCAGTAAAAAGCGGGGTAGTTATCTGTACATTTTCTTCTGTCAGCAAAAGCTTCAAATATATAAGACAATGCACTTGGGATGCACAGAAATTTATGTTTTCAAGCAGAGTAAAAGAGATTGAAACATATCGAGACCCATGAGACTGTGGTCTTTTCTTAAAAAAAAACAAAAAACTTCCTGCTTAGCTGTTAATCATATGTATAATCATGGTTTTTACAGAACCTGCCCAAAGTTCACCACACGGAGACATGGAACTACCACAGAGCACCATGTGGTTGAAATGACTGGAAATAAAATAATGTGCTACCAA